CCAAGTTAGAGGAGAGGAACTTCCTAATTCTCATATTAATTCATCCAGAGCCACCTGCATTTAATTGTCTTCTGGTTTTCCTTTGCTAACTCCCTGGTGGAAGGGAGGAGGGCAGAGGCTGCGAGCTCCTGAAAGCTTGTAGGTTCTACAGGGCAGGTCCCTAACGGGTGCTAATTATAGTGAAGGAAGGTGAGGAGAGATGCGTCCTGCGCGCCCCCCCCCCCCATTCCCAAGGTCCTGCAGTACAGGGAGTGTATGTAAATGGAGACTCATCAAGTCTATTAAGGAGGTGTGTAGCTCTGAAATTTGTTAAATCCATTGTTGTTCCATTAGCTGTTTGCATCCTTACAAGAGTCGAGGGAGATAGCAGGTCAAGTTTCACAGAGGAGAAAGCTAAAGCCCAGGGAAATCTGAGTCTCGCTCAGGGTTTCCTGACCAGAAGCTGGACTGGAATCTGGGTCTCCCTTTTCCCCGGCCAGAACTCTGAAGCCCCGAGAGGACAGTGATTTCCTAGCCATGGGCTTCCCTCGTCCCTCAGCCTCTGGTTTTTAAAGGAGCTAGGATGAGCCTTTTGGCACTTCCGAGGCTCCTTGCTTTTTGCCTAGCAGGCTCCCCACCACGTTGCCTCCTACGGGAAAGCTGGAGCCCCTAATGAGTGGGAGTTGGGGGGCAGGAAGGAAGGGGCACAGGCGGATCTGGCTGCAGTGATGGCCACAAGGTGCAGTGAGCAGACCCCAGTGAAGGAGGAGCGGGCACAGTGCTCTTAGCTAACAAACCAAACCGCCTTTTGCACTAGCTGCCCAGCTGGGTTCTTTTGTATTCAGAGCAGGAGGGGGAGTTTTTTGTTTTTGTGTTTGTTTTATTTTAAGTGCAGCTGCTATAGCAAAAGCTGTGAAGACCGAGAGCCACAAAGACGCAGAGTCCACCACGGGGAATGATTTCTGGCTGCAGGACTTGAGGCAGGGGTGGGAAGGGAGCCCCGATATCCACGCGGCTTTCGCCCAATGGGTTGTACATGTCCGTCTTCCGTGCCTGCCCAGGAATGGCTCGGCTCAGCCTGTTCCGACCCCTTTCAGGAGAGCAGTTTGTTCGTTCTGTTTGTTTGTTTTGTTTTATTTCTGTCTCCATCCAAAGAAAGCTATGTTTTCACTTTGTAAGGGTTCTTACATGTTCGATATGTTTATTACAAAAACATGTACAGACAATGCGGAAGTATATAAAGAAAACAGTTGATGACCTCCACCATACACACATACCCACATGTCTTCCTTCTCACCTTTTTAATTCCCAGAGTTACCCTATTAGCAGTTTGGTGTGTATGATTCCAGCTGAAAGACACACACAAACACAAACACGCATGCGCACATTTTTTAACAAGAATAAAATAATAGTACACGTGCTGTTCTGCAACTTTTTTCACTCAAGAATGTGTCAAGACGTTTTTCTATTTCAGTACATAAGAATCTCTTGATTCTTTTTAGCTGGTGTCTAATTTCTTTTTTAAAGATTTTATTTATTTATTTGAGAGAGAGGGAGAGAGCACAGAGGGAGAGGGAGAAACAGACTCCCTGCTGAGCATGGAGCCCGATGCAGAGCCGATCGCAGGACCCTGAGATCATGACCTGAGCCAAAGGCGGATGCTTAGCTGACTGAGCCACCCGGGCACCCCTGGTGTCTAATATTCTAAAACCTGCGTCTACCGTATCTTATTTACCAGTTCCCTTATCGAGGGACATTTAGGTTGGCCTTTATATGATAAGTGTTTCTTTCTTATATAAAATTCAACAGCAAACACACTCGAACATATGTCGGCGTGTTTTTATGAGTGTATCCATAATCAAATTCCTTGAGTTGAAATTGCTTGGTCAAATTTCCTAGGTATTGCCAGCTTGCCCTCCAAAAAGGCTCTGCCATCTTACACTCCCATCCGTGGTACATGAGAGTGAGCAATGCTTTTTTTCTCTGGGATTTGACTGGAAGGCTTTGAAGATGTAGTTTACTTCTGTTGCTCTAAGCCACATCCCAGAGCCTGTCGATTCTCGGGTGACTAGGGGCTGGTAGGGTTGGTGAGAGCCAAAGGAGCAATACAACAAACACAAAACAAGAAAGAACAACACAACTGAGAGTAGGAGAGCTGGCTTCTAGGATCTCTCTGAGGCATTGGACAGGCTACTTTAAATCCCTGGGTGTCCATTTGCTCTTCTATCGAATGCAGTTTTTACTTGCCACAATACACTGTTGTGATTGTTGTGAGGATCAAACGGGGAGGTATGAAAGTGGTTTGTAACCCGAGAAGCAGGATACACATGCCAACTGGTTATTCCAGTAGTGTGGTTATTATATCCTTAAATCAATGAGCTTGGAGAAGGAAACAGGGGAAGTGGGAGTTGAGTGGAAAAAATTACACAGATGAAATCTTTAAGATATTCTCAGCTTCCCTGAAAGTTCCCATGCCGTCGTCCTATATTCTTGGAGAACAAACCACGTTGGTAGTAAAGGCTGCTTTATGGTATCAAGAAGAATTGGGGCGCCTGGGGGGCTCAGGTGGTTAAGCATCTGACTCTGGGTTTTGGTTCAGGTCTCGATCTCATGGTTCATGATCTCATGGGTCCTGAGATCGAGCCCCCAGCTCTGTGCTCAGCGGGGAGTCCGCTTGAAGATTCTCTCCCTCTGTCCCTTCCCCCACTCACGAGGGCACGCACATCCCCCCCCAAATAAATAAATAATTCTTTAAAAAAAGGAAGAATATAGGTTATTGCCCTTTCATGGGAACACTGAAGTCTTCTGTGCTGGGCCTGGCTCCTAAGTCCAGTCCTCTTTCTATGACAACCCTATGCTTTAATTTGTCAGGCACCTAATAGGATTTTGGCCCCGTGCTACTTTCTATAATCACCAGTGAGAGAAGAAATACACACATGAAATGCTTAAATAACCGTGTGCGGTGACTGCATAAATAGCTCTGAGTTATAGCTGAGGTATATGGGAGGATTAGAGTGAAATCAAATACCTTTTAATTACAATTTAAATCAATAGCCCAGAAGAACAAGTTAAATCATTAGCCAGAAAAAAAAAATCCAGTTTTATCTATTTCTTAAAAAATAAGAACGTTCTTATTCTTTAAAATAACCCAAATAAGTGCATTTTACAAATCAGAGATATAACATTAAGTAAATGTTCATTCATTTAGATCAGTGATTTTTAGATTACTTTTACCATGATGTAAAAACAAAAAATCAATGTGATGGGCTACTTCCTTTAACCCCAAAGTTAATTAAAAAGATATCTGTAAAATCATTGAAAGCAGAACCCTCGTGATTTCAACCTATTAATCAGGGATTTGAGGAGGAGGGTGAGGGGTGTTTTTACATTAGGAAGACAACCACCAAGCACACACACAAAAAGCTATTTAAAAATGCCTGATTTTTTTAAAAAACACCAATCTAGTATACTCTTTTTTTTCCAAGCAAATACATATTTTAACAAAACCAATAATACCATGTATCATATTAGAAAAAGCATGGGCTTTGGACTCAGATCAAGATACAAATTCCACCTCTGCGACTTCCTACAGTGTTCATGTAATAGTCATGTAGGCATAAATATATTTTTAATTAAGGAAAATAAAAAGTAAAATGCAAAGTGATCCTTTAAAAAATCTGGAGTATGTAGTTTACCTAGTCTTTGCCTCCCTCTTTCCTGCCTTATCGTAGATTAGAAGGGTCTTCGTTATTCTTTTTTCAACTTCCAGCATGATCGTAATTTTAAATGAATTAGTCCAAAGAGGTATCCCATTCTCTCACCTTCCCCGGATGTTGTCTCTGTGAATCTAGAGGCCTGGTGTGTGACTTTTCCTAAAAGGAACTTGGCAAATATCTATTAATTCACTCTCTGTCTTGAAACTTGTTTTGCTAGCATTATGGAGAGATGATGGCTGGACGTTATGGGGTGTCGAGAAAATTGGAGAAAAGTGTACTGTGGAGGGTCATAACCCATTTTGATCATTGAAGTATGGCAGGATATATTTGTCTTCATAAAAATAAGTTTGAAAGTGGAGAGGGAAAATCATCCATAAACTTTTACCTGACTGTGGTACTTTTATGTTCTCTTCTGATCATTTCTGTGGGTGTATTTTACATCACTATAATTCAAAGGTCCTTAGTATTTTGCATTCTTTGTCATTTTTGATGACAGCTTACTGTCTCCTTGCTGGGATTTACCATAATTTATATAATCTAGCCAAATCCTGGGGGGTATGGATTTTGGAGTAGCTTTCGGAGTTACATTTTAAGCTTTGCACACGGTCAAAAATTTGAACTTTTTCTTAGAGACGAGAGGCCAGGGAAGGTTCTAGGGAGAGCCACATTTTAATGAAATTAAATATATCTATATATCTAAACTACTTGAAGTAGTTTGTTTGTTTATTTATTTATTTAGTATAACGCTCCGTGTTTTGAAGTGTGTGTTTCACGGGCAGAAAGAGAGTTTCCCTATCTAGATTGTCATCTCTGAATGCCACTGTCATATCTGCCAGAGTCTACTGTGTAGTCCAGGGACTCCATCAGCGTAACCTGTTGGCCTGACAGGTGGTGTCCCAAATCCAAACCATTTTCCCCAGTAGAGTGCCCGTGTAGCTGGACGGATTCCCTCCCCTGGAAATTTATCCGAAATTCCAGTCTTCCCGGGGGGGGGGGGTTAGGGGGCGGTTAAGGAAGATCCATGAAATGCCCCCGCCCCTTCCTACTGTCGGGTGCGCCTCTCTCTTGACGGCCCCACCTCTGTCTAGACAACCCCGACAGTGTAGAAGTTTCCATCTCCTTTTCCTTTCCTTCTCTCTGTTCCCTCCCCTTCAGTTTTTTTTCCCCCCTCCCAGGCGCTTCCTGCCTGGAAACAAAAGATTGGTCCCCAGCAGCCCACTCAGGGCGATTTTAGTTTTCTGCTCACCCTCTGATTGGCCCGCGTGCGGCGCAGAGCCCGGGTGACGTCATAGCAGACAAGAGCTAGGGAGCGGTTGCCGAGCCGGGCTCTGCCGCGGGCGGGCAGCTGTCGGCTGCGCACCGTCTGGGGGCTCGCGCGGGGGGCTGCAGCTTTCCCCGGCCCGGAGCAGGTGTGCGGGGCCGGGAGGAGAGCCGGGGGGAGCGGGCCGGGCCCGGGGCTGCGGCTGCGGCTGCGGCCCCCGCCCCCCAGCCCCGCCAGCCCGAGCGCTCGGAGGTAGAGAGGAAAGGTCTGGACAGGGTGGCTGGACCAGTGGCAGGTAAATCCCGCGACTCACGGCGCCCGGCTCGCTCGGGGGAGGGTGTGGCGCTGCTGGGCGGATTTTCTGCCTTCCCGGGGGGATCCCCCTCCTGCTCTCGCGGCGCCCCAGCCTCGGGTCCCCTCCGTGGCGCCCCCGGAGCCGCCAGACCCGGCGCGCAGTTCGCCCGATCGCGCTGGGCAGACGCGGACGAGTGGGTGTGTCAGGGCCACTCTCGGAGGGCCTGGACCCCGGCGCCGGGGCAAGCCCTAGACTCGCCGACTCGGGCCTGGGCCGCTGGAGGCCAAAGCCGCCCCCAAAGCAACGTCAGCCCGTTAGTCTTACACCATCTTCCCGCCCCCTCCCCCAGCCACAGAAGCGACGGCAGCCCCCCCCCCCCCCAAAAAAACCCACCAAGGGGAGGAGGTGTGGCCGCGGCCGGGACAAGTCCGGGGGAGGGGGAAAAGCCCAACCTGAGCAAACATAAAAAGTGACGATTTTCTTCTACGGGGCACCCTTTCTTTTATTTTTCTTTACCCTCCTCCCCTTTTTTGGTCGGGGGAGGGTAATGACAGGACGACTCATTTCTTGTCACGTGGAGACTGGAATGATGCAGTACTATCCCTAAAAAGCCTGGGGTCCCTCATTTGGCCTTTGTCTTTGTCTGGAGGGGGGCAAGGGTCATTAGGGGTCGTTAAGTCCATGGCCCCCCTCCCCTGTCCTCAGCACGCAGGGGGCCTTGCCCTCAGTTTGTGAACTGGCTCTGGAGAGAGGACTGACACACTTTGGGGCGGATTGAACATTTTAGATTCTTGCTCTCACGGGCTTTCCTTCCCTAGGTGGTGGTTCAGGGACGGGGTGGGAGGGCGGTGCCCGCAGGGAGGGAGCCAGAGGCCCCACTTGATTTTTTGGTCCCACCTTCCAGAATCCAGTGGCAGACTCTGGACTTGAGGGTTCTAGGCTGTGGTCTGTAGAAGCAAAGGACAGAAGGGTGAGTGGCTTGGCTTGGGGAAGCATGAAGGGGGTGGTTGCAGTGCTATTTTTTTTTTTTTTTAAATGGCTTTCAGCAGGGAAGCCTTTAGCCATGTTAGTTTTGCTCCCCCCATGGTTTTGCAGACTCAAATCCAGGCCAAATGTATGGCTGTCTGAGGTGTTGGAACAGAAGGAGGTCCATTCCTGTTGGTGACAACACTGGCCCCGTTCTGGGATGACCGAGGTATAAAGGTCAGTGCGGTTTTCACTGGACCATTTGCAAAATTATAATTGGGCAGGTCTGTGATTTGGTACTTGAGGCCCCTAACCAGGGGCACCTTTGGGTAAAGGGGCTTAATCTGGTAATGGTTGACTAAGAGGGAGAGCCACATAAGCCTCCGCTTCTGGGTACAAATGTCATACCTCCCTACTCCATGAAAGAGGCAAAATGGGAAGAGACTGGCGTGAATGCTGGGTAAAAGCCAACAGCTGAGAATCTTGAGGCCAGAGGGACCTTGAGATGTCAAGGAGTGGACCCTCCAAGCCTCCAGGCAGGCACGTGGGCCTTGTAGGAGAGACTGAACAGAAAACGGGAGGTTCACTTGTGATGTGGATGCAGGCAAGGGGCCACAACACCCCAAAGGCGTTCCGACTAGCTGACCATTACCACAGGTTGCAGATTGCTTAGAGGCAGAATTGGCTTACAAAGCAAACGAACGTGCTGAGGTCTTTGGGGAGAGGGCAGCAGACGTGACAAGTGAGAAAAATGAGGAATAACTGGGGGCGGGGGGAATGGGAGGTGCTGTCCCCATCAGAGACTCTGCTATTGTGAGGTCAGAGACGAAGCTACTGTGAGGTCAAAGAGGGTGGCCAAGGCAAAAAGAAATCAGGGCTAGAAATCTAGACGCAGGTAAGCTCAGATGGAGCAGGTAGGAACAAAGCCATAGAGAGAAGAAGAAAGCTATGGTCTTAACCAGGAGCTCAAAGGCCCCGTTTTACCTGGTGAGATGGGGAAATGGTGGTGGTCGAGGCACATGTCGTTCAGCCCAGACTTAGGGGGCTAATTTCTTGATATTTAGGGACTCGATAGCATTTCCATCCGTGTAACCTGCCTTCAGGAGCTAGTAGCTTTGGTCATAGGAAGGAGAAGAAACTCTGAATAGCCGACTCCACAGTGGCTCTTTCCTCCTGGGTAAGGAGAAGGAAGAAGGGGGGCAGGGTCCCAAAGGCGATTAGGGGAGCTTCGAATCCGCCCAAGACAGGTAGGTTGACTATTTTTACGCGGGGAGGGCCAGGGCCAGGTCTGGGGTCCCTGCTGCAGGCATGGGGGTATTTGGCTGTGCTCCGAAAATGCCCTCCTTCCCGCGGGCCCATGGGACCCTGTGCAGGTGAGGGATGGTGAAAACCCCTGCCCTAGAACGTAAGTGCAGCTGTTGAGGCTTGTGGGCTGCCCTGTTGTCCCCCAGGCTCTCCACCTGCCAGAGGCTAGGCGGTTCCCTCTGCAGGGCCCCGGGTGGACTCCCCTGCCAACTCGGCGCTCTGCTGCTTATCCAGCAGGGGGCAGGAAAGGGCACGCAGCCGTGGCAGGGCCGGAGTCGTCCATTTCTGGTGTGAAGTGGGAGCCTTGGGATCAAGTAACAGCCTTATGTTTAAAATCTGATTTAGGGGTGCCAGAGAGCCAAAGGAACCCCTGGGGCCTGGCAGTCTGTTTCCATTCCCTCCCCAAATGTGTTGCTTCCTCCCGCGCCCCAGGACTTTGGAAGGCATTTGCATTTACATACGGCGCAGTGATTAGTCCAGTCACTAATACACGCAGCCTACCCCAGAGTTTAATTGGAAATGTTAATCAGTACAATGGATCCATGTCTGATTTGCACATTCGGTCAATTATCTGCAGGTTGGGGCAATCTGTGCTGCACCCGGGAGACGTGATGAGGGGCAAAATGGCGTAGCTATCCGGCTGGGGCTGCGGGCGGGAAGCAAAATGGGGGAGGGGGACCTTGAAGACTGGAAAGAGAGGAACAGTTTACTGGTGGGGAATGGAGATCGTTCCCAAGGTGCAATCACAGCAGAGCCTGGGCGGCTGATCATTGAGACAGAACAGGACCATCCTGGAGCCCACACAGCGGAGAGGGAGAACAGGGTTTTGCCCTGAGCTGGGAAGGTGCTGGATTTGGAGAAGGAAGGTTTTTTCGAGACTAGAAGACATGGAGCTGGGGTGGAACAAACCTTGGGAGTCAGGAGTCTGGTGTTGCCCTCTGCTTCTGCCCCTCTCCGCGGAGCCTTAGTTTCCCTGTCTTTGAATGATGGGGTTGGACGAGGTGGTTTCTGAGATGGTCAGGAGATTTTAGGAAGTGGGTCCATTTGTTCTTGGTCATGAAGGCAGGTCCACCATAGGACAACATCCCCCCCCCCAAAAAAATTTACCCTTTTAAATCACACTTTTTGGTATGCCCTGTGATTTGGGGGGAAACATTATAAAACAAACCCCCAATCCCTGCACACATTTCATCTGTTTGAGCAGCGTGGTTTAATTTTTATTTCATGTGAATGGGAAACGAGAAGGAGAATAGAAGCCCAAGTGGAGAATCTGCTAGGGACCCTAAAACCAAGCCCCTGAGAAGCTCTGTGGGGATTTGATACAGATCTTATACAGTGGGGTGGGGGGCAGATGGGCACTCGTGGCACTAACTCCCTAACCCAGCCTCAAAACCGAAGGGCCTGGGATGAGGGTGAAGGAAGGCCTGCTTAGCGTGTGTATCCTTTTCCTTCTTTCTCCCTCATCTCTCTCTGAGCCAGGTGGACTTTTTGGAATTTCGCACCCTCAAGACACACTACCCCTAACTGCCGGCACAATCGCGCCCTCTAGTGACCGCAGCAGGGACACCTTTGGCAGAGCTCCTCCTGCGTCCCATGGCCCAGCTCCCTTTGCCAGTGCTAATCCCTTGTGCAGCTGTTAACTCCCGTCTTGAGTTAACAGTCCTTCCAGTTGGCCTGAAGGAGAAACTGAGGCAGCTGCAGCTCCCTGCAGGCCATTCTATATGGATGGGACTGGGGGTTGAGCAAGGACACCATCTCCCTAGTGCTTAGCCGGAATGCAGCAAAGCTGGGGTGCTGGTAGGCACAAAATGGGTACACTGATCCCTACCCCCAGCCTCCAGGAGGGGGCTAAGCCCCAGGTGCAGACACAGGGCAGTATAAACACACGACAAGCTACACATAATATGGCAGAGCCACGTGATACAGAATAGGGATTAGATCCGTGCCACGTACAGACAAGGCACAGGCCACGCAGTGCGACGCATAGCACAATACACAATACAGTGCAGACACTGTATCCATACACATACTATAAACATGACTGCACACCCCCGCACGACGGGATACAGACGTGACACCCACAAAACAGCATAGATAGGGGACGGCACGCACATGACTGGGTACAAGCACCCAGATACCGTGGGGGCACAGGAAGCAGCACAGATACACTCACCACCCCCCACAGTGCGTACTCACACGCAGGACTCATCTTCACACTCCCAACAAAACACTTCTCCCCCCCCGCCCCCCAACAGGACAGGCGAGAGGAGTGTAGCCACCAGGGGGAGCGCTGCGTCCTGCCGGGCTCCGCACACTGGCTCCGGCGGTGCAACTGGTATATTGGAAGCAGAGAGCCGTGCGGTTCATCGGAGGCTGAGGCAAGGTGGAGGCAGGCCTACGGAAAGCTCTCGGTCTTGCACAGGAACCTGGAGGTGCTTGGTTGGTCCAGGCTGGTGCCTCCACTGCCCCCCACCCCCACCTGGCCTTCCAGCACTGTTCCCCACCCCCATGGGTGCTTGCTGCCATTCCCCGGGCTCAGGGGACTTTTTGTGGCCAACCTTCTTGAGCCCCCTTCCAGTCCCACCCCTCTCTGGAGCTTTGGCAGCCATTACTCACCTACTCCCCACCCCGCCCCCTTGCAGGATGAGCTCACAAAGCCAGGGAGGGGGTGGGCACACCACTTAGTGGCCCAGTGGGTGGGATCTGGAAAGGCTGCTGGGAGTATGTGAGTGGGAAGCACTCAGGGAATGCCACGGCCCCCTGGGGGACACAGGCGGCCGAGCTCTGGAGTCTCGCCAGGAGCAAGTGGTGGATCTGGGGTATGGCTTGGTCTTCTCGTTCACCAAGGGGAAATGGGGGAATCCTGGGGCTTTTCTTGGCTCCCTGAGTCTTCACTTTTTCTCTCTCCACCTTTAGCTATCCCTCCCTCTATGTCTTTGGATTAGGACCTGGTACATTCTGATACCCGCTGGTAGAACGTGTGCTAGCCTGGGACTGGCTTTGCTGGGATTTCACATAGAGGTGCTGCTTTTCTTGGAGGACAGACACGTGGAGGGAAGGCGGGGGCAGGGTAGGAAGGATTGCAGAGGGAAGATCCGTCTCCTCCTTGAGAGGCTCGAGCGATTGTGGGGGAAGGCAGGAAAAGAGGGGTTAAAGATCTTGCCTCCACAGTTGGACATGGAAACCTCTGTGGGGAAGATAGGGTAAACCATCACCCCCAAAAACCCCAGGATATACTCACCCTAAGAAATCTGAGAAAGACTGTGGAAGACCTCCCCGTAGTGGAGATTGGGTTGGGGGGGAGGGGAGGCAGAAGGAAGTTCCAGTTAGGATCAGAGGCTGAGGCCCTCAGCAGCTGTGTAATGATAGCAAATTAGGGACCCCCCCCCCGAGTGCTTCCCACCGCCACTCAGTGGAGGAGGTTGCTGCAAAGGGAAGGAGGTGGAGGTGGGGGCCTGGAAGTGAAATAGCATTGCTAGATCTTTGGGAAGTTCAGGTGTCCCCAGAGCCAATGTGCATTTGCCACGATCTCTCGGTTTTCTGTTGGACGCTGGGCTGGACCACCTCCTGTGAATATGCGGCTATGTCCCATCTGTCCTGTTTGATCTAGTCCTCCTGACACTTGTGCAGGGTGCTAGGGCAGGTCTTCTCTGCGAGCTAGCAGGCAGAGCCAGAGTGAGTGGCGAGGTGACAGTTCTCAACCTGAAACCCCTGGTTCGTGCCCTTGCTGGACTCCGACCTCGCAAAGCCCTTTTTATGCTTCTCCCCTCTCTGATTCTCTGCCTTCTCAAGGGGCTTTCTGAAATCCACTGTAGCATGTGTGTGAGGTTTGGGCGGGTTGGCTGAGGGAATAGTAGCAGGTGGGGCAAGAGGTTCCTGCACCCCCACGATGCTTCTCTTGGCAGGTTGCCCCCAAGAAAGTGCAGCGGAGTCCTTGCGTCTTGTGGCAGCTGACGTGCCCAGCCCTGAGTCCGTGGGAGCTGAAGGCAGCCCGGCCCCTTCTCATGGGCAGCGCCCACCTGTGCTGAGGTCCTGCTGCCGTGGCAGTAAGAGGTGAGTAATGGACTCCAGGGCAGGGAGTCAGGGATGTCCAAATCCAGGTAAAGGCCACCTTTCCACCAGAGCTGCCAGTATTAAAGACCTTGCCTGGGCCTCATGAGCCAGGACTGGGTGCACAGCCCCTCCTTTCTGGGGCACTGTGGCCCGTATAGCTGCCCTTAGTTTCTCAGTTCTCCCCGTTTCTAATATGGGAATGATAGCTGTGACCTACATCGTGGGGTGAGTAGGAGAAACAACTGAATGGTCATGGCCAAGTCCTTTGCAGTTGTCAGGCTCCGTCTAAGAGCTTCCGTGTAACCACCGACACACTTCCCTTCCAGCTGGCATTTCCTCTCCTCCTGCTTTCCGGATGTCAACGTGGCATTTCAGCCACATGCCACTGACTGACCAGTCAGTTCCCGAAATTTCTCCTGCTCCACACCTTTCATTTGACCTTCCTATTCAAGGTGTACCCCAACCCCATCTATCCCTGCTTCCGGGCCTGATGGGCTGAAACCTTCCAGAACCTTCTCTCTGCCTTCCCAACCAAGCAGGGAGCACTTCTCCCCCCAGCTCTCTAACAACACTTGAGCCCATAGAATATTGCATAGCCCTTATTTCTCAACTGCCGTCGATCGTTCTTGCACGGTTTCTGGAGTATTCACCTTGGCAGGTAAAGTAGACCATAAACTAGGGGTAGGGACTCGATTTCACAGGTCTCTCGTCTCTCTCCCAAGTGCCTGACAGTTCCCCAGCAGCGTTTCGATTTGGGGCCCTCTCTTCCTCTCCATTTCTTTCAGGTTCCCTGGCCTGCCTCTGATCATCGACCTCTTTCCCTCTTCGGGCAGCTGATAGGGCTTCTGCTGTCAGCTGCCCCCTCTGGCCTTCTGTTGCCATATGCCGCCGTCCAGCTACCTGTTTGTATCTTACGTGCCTCTTCCTCTTTGTCTGCGCTTCTGTCTATTTGTCAGTTACCCGGGCATCTCTCATAGTGCCCAAGTCAAAAGCGAGTGACCAACCAAACTTAAAGCAGAAAACCCCCAAAAAACCCCAACAAGAAAAACAAAGGGAGAACAAACAAGGAATACGCAGTGCAGTTCCCGGCCCGACAGGACAAAGGAAAAGCGCAGCTCAGCGGCAGGTGTTTGTGGGGTGCCTCCTCGTGAAGGGGAAGCTCCAGAGTTTCGGCCGGGATGTTGAGGGTATGAAATTACAGCCCTGCCGATACTGATGTATTCAGCTTCCTAGAGATGGTGTGGTAGGGGATCCTCTATAGACCTCGAGCGACAGAAGGTAACTAGAACTCGCTCAAGTCAGAAGCGAGCCCCGGGGTCTCTCCTGGGTGTTCTGTGGCAGCTCCAGTAATAGCCTGTATTTATCGTCTGCTGTTGCCGGCGCTGGGCTGGGCATTTTACTTGCAGGAGACTGTTTGATCCCACAGTAACTCTGCAAGGTAGGTTTTGTTTTTTTTTTTTCCTAATAATTACTGGTTTTGTTTCTGATTATAAAAGTGAGACTAGCTCAAGGTAGTTCTAGAATCATGGTTTTGCCCACGAGGAGACCGGGGTTGAGAGGGGCTAAGTAACGTGCTGTAACTGGACACACGCAATGGCTTTGGGAGGAAAGACACTTCCTGGAGAGTTTCTCAGCATCCCAAATGCTTCAGTGCTCACACACACGTACACACACTCTCATGAGCACACTCGTGTACTCTTGGACCTTCACACAATCCTTCTGCCTCCTTGGCTCACACTTATCCCACCGGACACATTCGTGGTAACGGTCACTCCCACCCCCTCACCCTCACCCGCGTATTTACAAACATGCTGCACGCAGGCCCACGCTCATACGGCCACACACTGCCACGTACATTTTTATGTTCACGTTTTTGGAGTGACACACACCCCACACTTGCCATACACCCCAGCCTCACGTTCTCACCCACTCACACCTTTGCGTTTTCTCACGTTCTCACACACTCACGGTCACACCTTCTCACCCATATCCACGCCGATGATAGAATCACATTTAACCCACAAATTCCTCCATGCTCACGCAGTCTACACGCAGACCCGACGCCCACTTTCCCTTGTCCACTTCTCATACGGTCATACATACCTCAGTTTTAGACGCTCTAACACATTTGCACCGTCATGGTCTCCTCCTCGTAGTAAGACCCTGACCCAGTTCGTAACTCCTCGCAGGGACACACGCACATGCATACACATTCCCACCATAACCACAGTGTCACCGTTTCCGCTGTTACACCACCTTACTGTCTTACCCTCAGTATCGCGTGCTCTGGGACTCCTGCTCAGCACGGACTCAGCCTCCCCACCTCTATCACGTTCACACGAAATCACACTTACACATGGAGACACGCTCACTTTGACGCCCATTCACGCTCATTTGCTCACCTTCATGCTGAGACCTGATCGCACTGTTCACCAAACTCACGAGCATGTGCCCTCAGAGATAGTCACACACGCGCCTTTTCATAACCTCGGCCACTTTTACGGACACACATCGCCCTGCGCTCACACTCAGAGTCACACAGACGCACTCGCACTGACACACACCAACACCCATCTGCTCGCTCGCATTCAGTGCTCACGCTAATTCACATCAACATGCAGTCACACTTAGGGCACACCCGTGCCTACATACTGACGTTTGCACATTCTTACGGGTTTCCGTCCTCTCACGCTCACAGCCACGCACTCCGAACCCTGCGCTCCCACATATCCCCGGGGGCACACTCTCTCACACTCCTGTACATTCACATGTACGCCCTCTCCCTCTCCCACTGCCGTTTCTGCATCACACGCGTTCACACTGGCACACTCCCCACACGCTCCCGTTCTTGCCCATTCTCACTCTTGTGCTCTCATACTGACAGACCCTCACGTTGCCACACATGAACACCAGGACACACGTGGTGACCCGCACAGTCCACACTGTCGCCCTCGATGCCCATAAATGAGCTCATGCACTCACACACAGGCCACTGGTGATGCCACAGACGGCCATGTAGGCTCACACTCACTCAGACTCTCATTCCCCCTGCAACGTCCCCCCCTGAGGGGGGTACACTTGCTCACACTGGCCCACGTGCCCACACAGTCACTGAGGCATAAGATACATCGCCTCTAGCTTGACCTGCTCACCTGAACGGCCATGGACTCTTCCCTGGACTCTCACACGGACGCATCGACGCTGACCCATCCTCACATGGACACGGACCTACACCCCCTCACTGAGGTGGTCCCACTCCCCCACATCTGCGACTCATACATGGCTTATAGTGACCCCACGCTCAGGCACACACCCCGCATCCCCAAGCTTACACATGGCCCCCCGCGGATATTGCCACACCCACACACTTTTTCACTGACACACACACCATCACACACCCCACTGCGGGGAGTACAGTTGTCACTTGTTTTGCCCCTACTTGCCACTAGTGCTCTCCTCACCCCTGCTGGAAGGTTTTTCAGCAGCCTGTGGCCTAAAGAAGAGTGTTGGTGTCAGCCAAGGCACCAGTGGGACTAGATCTTTCCAGAGCCAAAAGGAGTGGAATTTATGTCTAGCATTAAAAAGGAAAAGCTCAAACCCACAGATCAAATCTTATGTCCTTTTGCCATAATTTTCTTTTATGGAAGTCATCTCTAAGAGAACCTTGGCTGGTCTATCCAGAAGGGGTTGGGGTTTAGATGGTTTGTTTTCTGGAAGTTTACGGCTTAACTTGCCACCTCCTTTCTCTCCCAAGGGGAGGGCAGGCTAAAGCATGTGTTTCTTTATGCACTCACAGTGGTTCCCTAGGCAAAAGTCTGGGTCTCTGATTGTATGTTTCTGATCTGGAATTCCCTGCTGTTTCCGGTAGGCACCTCTAGTCTAGCCAGGTCTACTTTTACCCTGTTAGCCCTGGAACATGGTATTCAAGTTTCTGTCGTGAGTGTGCATGTGCATACATAGACGCCACTGGAATTTCAACAGCTGCTACTGACAAATTAACAGAGGAAATTTCTCAGTAGGCGTGGATAAAGGCAAGCTGAAGAAACTTCCTTGCGCTCCAGACAGACTGTAGATTTCCCTGCAAGAGGGTAAAAAGAAGTGCAAATCCCAGGAGTGAACCAACCAGTAGATCAGGGGCCTGGTGCCAGAGTCCTGTGCCACACCAGTTCCCAACGAGAGATTTAGAAACATGAGAGCACCTTGTAGGAGCCTCCTTAATCTATGGCTTCCCCTGCTGGAGCCTCTCTGGAGGAAAGATAAGTGCAAACTAGGCCCAAGCTGCCATTTGATAATGGACTCTGGCACCATGGGGAAAAGCCTGTACTCTGAAATACCACACACTACCTTCTACACCTGCAATCAGATTGAGACCTTCTTGGAAAGCAGAGACCACATCGTCTAACTTATTTTAGATTCCCAGGGTCTAGTGTGATGCCAGGCCCAGAGCAGCTACTTGTGAAACTCCAGTCAGAAACTGAAGGAGGTGGGTGGACAGCAGTGTGTCAGGACAGATCCAGTGCCTGCCTTCCTCAATCCTAGAATTCCAATGGCATTACCAGCGTAGACCGAGGATCTTCTGTGGGCCCTGTCGAGTGCTAGACCCAGAAGGAGATTCAGATGGAGGAAAGAAACATACCCTGCCCTTGAGGTACTTTCATTCGAGTGGGAAAGATGGCGTCACCATGCAACAGTAGCACAAGGCAACAGTCTTGAAGCTTGGGATTTGGGGGACTCTTTCTCATCCAGTGGTCTTCAGGCTCCCAAGGCCTTGAGGGCCCATGGGTGGTTGGAAACAGCCGCCAGGATGTGGGGCAGTCATTTCCCAAAGCAGACCTCCTCGTAGACCTCTTGCCCAGCCCAGAGATATGCCATCTTTCCAGAAGATGGTGTAACGGAGCCCTTTGTCAACAGTGCCTAAGGTAGAGGAAGGAAAGTGAGGTGCAGACCTTAATGGAAATTTTGTACTGAGTTAAAATTTAGCCATCACGTCCTCCAAGAGA